TTCCCTAAGGTAACAGTCAACTATATAATAGATGCTTGGATCTCTTTCTGCTGTTCTCAGGACACCGAGAAGAGGCTCTTTCCCATGGCTCCCACCTCGGCCCCACCCTTGCCTTTCCTGTCCGTGCCTGGAGTCACCAGAGGAACCCAGGAATTGTCTGGAAGAGGGGACGGAGGAAAGCTCGACCACATCCCTGAGCGAAGCGGGCGCCCGGCAACCATAAACTGGAATTTGAAAGGTCCTTTTTGAGGCTGTGTGACTCCCACCTCGAGTTTAGGGGTGATGCTAAGGCCAGAGCTAGTGGGATGCCCATTAAACTGAGGGCGCGAGACAGCCACAGCTACCGCCACTCTTCCCCAAAGGCCACCTGACATCAAGGGTTTCCCCAGGTTCCTGTTGGGGATTCCGCACTCGCGGGTTTGAGGGTCCCACAGTTCTCCAAGGCCGGTTGCTGGTTTCCCAGAACTCCCAGCCCTGCCCTGTAACCACCGGTGCTAAAAACGCCTGGAATAGTCCCATTTCTTTAGTATCAGGTGTAGTTCCGCCGCATCCTCCGCTCGGAGCGCCGCGCTGCGCCCCAATCTTCGTGGCCAATCAGAAGCCACGTATTCCAGCGCTCGCCGTTCCCGCCCCCCTCCCGTCTCCATGGAAACGCCCCGGGAGTCCACTGCGAGGCCTGCGGCTGCGGTTGGGGCCCGCCGGGCTGCGGCCTTTGTGTGGCCGGAGTGATCTGGTCAGCCCCTGGCCCCCTCGGAGGCTTCCTAAGTGACTAGGGAGCGCCCAGCCAGAGCGGCCGCGCGCGGGGAGAGCTGTGGCGGTAGCACGAGGGGCAGAAAGGGGACGGTCCGGGCCGAGAGGCGGGTCAGGCTTGGAAATCCGGGCGACGCGCAGTAGGTGGATCCTTCACAGCCGCCCTCCCCAGGCTGAAACTGAGTGAGGGGAGCGAGGGGAGGGCAGAGGCAGCTTGCGCCCTGCGCCCGGGGTGCTCGGGGTTGGGGGGTGTTGGGGCGCAGCTTGGTAGGGGGTCTGGACGCCTTGCCGAGACCACGCACGTCTTCGCTGCGGGAGCAGAGGCCGCGCAGGCCGTGGCCCTGAGGCTGGCAGGTCCCGCCCGCGAGAACCGTCAGTACATTGAATCCAGACCCTCGGGCAGCCCAAGCCTGCCCAGCCTCGGACACCCGAGAGTCGTTTTTCTCACGAAAGGAAGCGGGCTCTTAACTGTTTATCATTTTCCTCAGGGACCTGTGATCAGCAAGGCAGGACTGGGGTGGCAAAGGCTCATGCCTCCATTTTACAGGTGAGGAAAGGGAGGCCCCTGGAGGTCTACAAGTTTGGTCTTTAAAGTTCCACAGGTGGTTGGTGACGAGTTGAGACTGTGTTCCGGATCTGGGGTCCTTCTCTGAGACTCTGGGTGCTCTGGTAGTAAGGACAGTATTTCTGATGTTACAAGTAGGGGAGAGCAATGGAATTATATATTTAACTCAACAAAATAAGAAAAAGAATAGAGACTATTTAACTACCCTGCTGTTATTTCTATTATTTTTGTCGTTCTTGTCAATAATAAACTAGGAAAGCCCTGAGGCTCAAGAGGTTAAATTATATAGAGACCACATGCATCCCTGGAGGGACTAAACTGTGAGATCAAAATCTGTGTTTTCATGTTCAAACTAGAATTGCACCTTTGAAGTTTCTAGACTCAGGGTCAGAAAAAAGGTCTTGCGTGCCAGACCTCATAGCTCTCCTGGTTCTTGAAAGGGAACAGAAGTGTACTTGTGTTCTTTCTGACCTCTTTGTAGGGGATTTGGGAGTTATACCTCGTTAGTATGTGGAGATTGTAATGGGTTTGGGGATTTCAAGTCATGCCTAATCTTTCATTTCTTCTCAGCTCAGCCTTCTCCACACTCTACCCTTGCCTAAAAGAGGAGCACAAAGTAGGAAGGAATGTTCACATGTTTCCTCGCTGTCTCCTCCCAGGTGAGCAGGATTGTCTTTTCTTGTTTATAAAATGCCCCTGAATTCCCCATGCATAGTGAGGGGTAATGGTCATGGGAATGGATGGACCAGACAAAACAATACTGTATGTTCCTCACTTGCCTGGGAAGCCTATGCAACAAGCCCCTGCCTCCTTCCCAGTGTCTTTTCCCAACATTTACACAGTCATTAAAGTCTACTCTATAAATTCATATTGTTCTTGGTGCTCTGAGATAAATACAAGAGTGTCTTTCCTTCACATTGGGGAAATAAACCATATGAAGTTAATAATAATTCCTAAAGTTCTTGCACATTAAACAGTGCCAGAATGAGTGGCACTTAAAAGACAGGACCAGCAACTCAGATTTGGATAATCATTATGTATAGGAAGGTATAACTGCAGACAGGAAGATCATCATTTAATCTCAGGTAGAATTCGAAGGGACAAATGGAAATTGGGCTAGTTGCAGTAGAGGGTTAAGTATGAATGTGCAAGGTGAGAACATATTGTTGATGGCTATTGATATTTAATTGGTTACTTATTCTTGTGCCCCACTCAGAGAGTCCCCTGCACATCAGCCAGAGGCAGCCATTATTGACTTACAGTCCTTTATCTAATAATATACATACATACTCATTAATCTGTACCAATACTAACATGTATGCATATGCATACATACACATATGTACAAATATACACACATGGGTTTATCTAAGATACATGTACATATAGAAATTAGTATATATAAAAAGTTTTGAAATTTTAAAAACTTGCATAAAGTGAAATCTTATTTCATTTATATAGGTTTGCTTTGAAAGCTCTTCTTCATCCCAAAATCTAATATATTAATCACTTTCATTTTCCTTTTTTTTTTTATAGTTTCAAGTATTTTAAAAGTTTAACTCTGAAACTTAAGCATTCTTTTTTCTTCCCATTTATTTTTCTCATAACATTTCCTTTCTCCATTGATTGTGGTGCTGTCTTTTCATACCCAAATTACTAAGTTCTTTACACACAAACATACACACGTAACACAGATCACTTTTAGGACTGTCCTGTTACATGGACCCATTTCTCAATTCTTATACTGGTATCAGAATGTATGTAATCTTGTCTTTGTATATGTAGTGCATTTAATGAGCAATGAAGAGGAATTTAGCCTTTGTTTTTCCCTCGGTAAGGAAGAAGGAAGATCGCTTACATGCTGGGGATATTGCACAGAATAACCTCATGGTGATTTCTATTTTGGAAAAAAGGAAGTAAAAGTTAATAGCTTGTAGATATAACCTTTCAGTATGTTTTATTAGTATAGCATATTAGACAAAATACAGGTGCTGGACTCACTACCTAAACTTGATTATGCAAACTAGATTCAGTTACTTAAACAGTTTCTCATCTGAAGTGGGAAAATAGGACCTACTCAATAGAGTTAAGAAGGTTAATTGAGATCATACATGTAAAAAAACTTAGTACAGTGCTTAACAAATGGAACAGTTGGTTTCTATTATGTTGCAATTTAAAATATAATGCATAGCTCCTGGCAGGCATGGCTCAGCGACTGAGCATCAGACTGAGCATCAACCTATGATCCGGAGATAGCAGTTCCATCCTGGTCAAGACACATGCGGGGGTTGTGGGCTCAGTCCCCAGGAGGGGACGTGCAAGAGGCAGCCGATCAATAACTTATCACTGATGTTTCTATTTCCCTCTCCCCTCCTTTCTCTGAAATCAGTATATTTAAAAATAAAAAATATATGTGTGTGTGTGTGTGCGTGTGTGTATATATATATAATATATATATATTATATATATATATANGCCGATCAATAACTTATCATTGATGTTTCTATTTCCCTCTCCCTTCCTTTCTCTGAAATCAATATATTTAAAAATAAAAAATATATGTGTGTGTGTGTGCGTGTGTGTATATATATATAATATATATATATTATATATATATATAGTGCATATCTGATATAACTTTCTAGTCACTAAGACATAAGAATTGAGGCAGGGAATCTAGCTTAATTTTTTTTTTTTTTTTTCCAGATGGCCAGTCAGTTCTCCCAGCATCATTAATTAAATAAGCTATCTTTCCCCCACGAATTTATTACCTATATCCTATTTAGAATCCATTGCTAAATTTAGAGTCCATTTCCAAATTTCTAGACTTTTTCACTGATTATCTTCTCTATTCCTATGTCAACCCTGTGGTATTATAATTACAGAGGCCTTATTAAAGTTTTAACATACCATTGGGTTAGTCTCCCCTCATTATTCCTTTTTCAGTTTTTTTCTCATGAAAGCACTTCAAATCAGTTTTTTGGTTATCTCCCCACCCCCAATTTGCTAGTATCTTGATTGGGAACCCATAAAAAATAAATAGATANCTTTTCTCATGAAAGCACTTCAGATCAGTTTTTTGGTTATCTCCCCACCCCCAATTTGCTAGTATCTTGATTGNTTCTCATGAAAGCACTTCAAATCAGTTTTTTGGTTATCTCCCCACCCCCAATTTGCTAGTATCTTGATTGGGAACCCATAAAAAATAAATAGATAGGTTTATTGAAAACAAAATTATATTTATTTCTCCTAAGATTATGCAGTATTTCTAAATTCTGAAGCTGTCTTTATGTAGGTTTTAAGTGTTTTTGTTAACCTAATTTTTAAAATTTTGTATTTTTAAATTACTGTTGTAAATGTTATTTTAAAAATTACTTTTAGCCCTAGCTGGTTTGCTCAATGGTTAGAGCATTGGCCTGAGGACTGAAGGGTCTCGGGTTTGATTCCAGCCAAGGGCATGTACCTCAGTTGCAGGCTCCATCCCTGGCCCTGGTTGGGGCTTGTGCAGGAGGCAACCAATCAATGTCTCTCTCTCTCTCTCTCTCTCCTTCTCTCCCCCTTCCACTCTCTCTGAAAAGCAATGGAAAAAATATCCTCGGGTGAGGATTAAAAAATAAATTAATTTAAAAAATAAAAATAACTTTTACTGATTTTTATATGTCCAAATCTTTTTCTAAATTATGTAACTGGATTTTATATATGAATTAATTTGAACTCATCTTTAAAATTTTTAACATTTACAAAAATAAAAAGCACTGAATTTTTGAGTTATTTGTGATAAATGTTTCACTGTTTAGGCATGGATCTTTGGAATTTACTTAATCTTTAACAACCATTGTTTACATTTGCAAAATGGAGATAATAGTAGTATCTACAAGATGGGGTTAGTGTGAAGATTCCTTGAAATACAAGTGAAGTACTTAGCCAAGTGGTTAGCACACAAATGCTATATAAATGTTTCTTATTATGGTGATAGGGTTCAATGATTAGATACATTATTTAGTCATTTGACTACTACTATTATATCTCTTCTTACCTTTCTTATTTTTCTTCATTATTGAAGTTCTTTCTTTTTCTGTTTGGTTTGCCACTTGTTACCTGATGAATGTCTTTTTCTTTGTTCATCTTCTCGCTTAGATTTCTTCTTCCCTGAAAGCCTGATCTTTGACCAGATGGCAGTAACATTTGAAGATGTGACTGTTATTTTTACTTGGGAGGAATGGAAATTCCTGGATTTTTCTCAAAAAAAGCTCTACAGAGAAGTCATGTGGGAGAACTACACAAATGTCATGTCAGTAGGTAAAGTTATCCCAGCTCTCATGGAATAGTTTCTCCTGGGATCAGTTTTGTTGAGTATTTTGGTTCTTTATCTAGGTATTGTATTGAGATAGAAGAAGTAGTCTCAAAAAAGAGTCCTAAATCAGATGACAAATAGAAGATAAAGCAAGACATCTTCCATGCCGCCTAGGCTATGTAATTAATAGGTATTTGTGACTTATTCTTACTTATTTTTGGACTGCACTTAAAGCACAGATCTCCACATACTATAATCAATTTTGTGTGGTCCTAAATTTGTCCTCACTTCATACCATTTGTATGTTAGCTTTTGCTGTGTAACAAACTATCCCAAACTTAGTGACTTAACAAACTATTATTTTTTATGATTCTAATTGGTTAGATGAATCTCTTATCATGGAGTGATTTGGTTAAGGATGGATGGTCTAAGTTTAGGTTATATAGCCTGACTCACATATCTACAGTAGGTTAGCATCAGTGGGGATAATGGGAATGGGTGGGACATATGTCTCTCTTCAAGCAGGCAAGCCCAGGCTCCTTTACATGGTGGTGGTCACAGTATTTTCAAAACCAGCAAGAGACAGGACAAGTGGCATTGCACAGCACTTTTCAAGTCTCAGCTTATATCACTTTTGCTATTTTCCCAGTGACCAAACAGCCAAGCCTAAAGTCAGTGTGGAAGGGAAGCACAGAAAGCTGTAGAGAGAGAATTAATGCAGTCATTTTTACATTATCTATGACACTATTTGAGAACAGAAAAATAGAAACTACTTTATTTTTTAAAATAATGCCCCAAGTAGAGTAATATAATTAAATCTCATATTAAAGGTTATTTCCATGAAGCAGTCAGCCTAACTCTCATTTCTAAAAGTACCTGGTAAGTAGTAGATGTTTAGAATACATTTGTGGAATGAGTAAGTGAATGAATACATATATGAATGAACAAACAAATGAATTTCAAATCCAAATATGGAGCAGCCTAAGTCATAACCCTTCTTTTTCACTCCCACCCTCACATATATTCCTATAATTCTGAAGTTCATTGATTGAGACACTTAGAAATTTTTAAACACAGCCTTCATTTCACCACTGGATTATCTGTTTATTCTTCTAGGAAACTGGAAAGAGAGCTACAAACCCCCAAAAGAAAGATTCAGATATTTAGAGCATGAAAGTCTTTCCTGCTGGCAACTTTGGAGGAATACTAGCCTTCAGACATATGAGAACCAAAACTATGTGGAAACCATTCAAGGGATAGATTCCAAAGACTTAAAGCAGCAAGACCTTTCCCACTATCAAGAATGCTTAATACTCTCCACAGAGGTACCAGGTTATGGGAAGTATGAACTGACTTTTGAAAGCAAAAGTCCCAGGAACTTAAAATATACAAAACTTATGCCTTGGCAATCCTTAGAAACAAAACACACTCAAGACGGTAGAGAAATCTATATGAGTGATTCACTTGGTTTTCAAGGAAGCAGATACAGTATTGGCATATCCAGGAAAAATCTCTCCGGTAAANAGTGGTAGAGAAATCTATATGAGTGATTCACTTGGTTTTCAAGGAAACAGATACAGTATTGGCATATCCAGGAAAAATCTCTCCAGTAAAAAAAAACAGAAGCTCATAGTTCAGCATTCTTACGTCCCAATGAAGGAAGCTGTTCCAAAGTACATTGAGGAGATATGCCAAAATGACCTACTGAAAGATGCTATAGAAGAGAAATACTGTGGATGTAATACATGTAAGGAAATTTATTATTGGAACTCACATTGTGTTCTCCACAAGAGAAATCAACTTGGGGAAAGGTTTTATCAGTGCTCCATCAACACAGCACATTTCTTTCAGGGATCAGACCTATACAGACATCCAAGAATCTGTATAGGTAAGAAGCTGTACAGATGTGAAGAAGTTGGCAGTAACTTTAGTGAGAGCATAGGTGTTCTCTTTCATCAGAGAGTCCACACAGGGAAGGTTCCTTATATATGCAATGTGTGTGGTAAGAGCTTCAGTCAGACCTCTAGTCTTCACAGTCATCAAAGAGTCCATACGGAAGAGAAACTCTATAAACTTGAGTGTGGTAAGGACCTCACCAGAAATTCATTACTTCACACTCACCAGAGACTTCATGTAGGAGAGAAGCCTTTTAAGTGCGATCAGTGTGGCAAGAGTTTTAGGCGGAGTTCAGTACTTCTTGTCCATCAGAGAGTCCACACAGGAGAGAAACCATACAAATGTGATGACTGTGGTAAGGGCTTCAGTCAGAGCTCAAATCTTCGAATTCATCAGTTAGTTCACACAGGAGAGAAGTCCTATAAATGTGATGACTGTGGTAAGGGCTTTTCCCAGCGCTCAAATCTTCAGATTCATCAGAGAGTGCATACAGGAGAGAAGCCTTATAAATGTGACGACTGCGGGAAGGACTTTAGTCACAGCTCAGATCTCCGCATTCATCAGAGGGTCCACACAGGGGAGAAACCCTATACTTGTCATGACTGTGGAAAGGGCTTCAGCAAGAGTTCAAAGCTTCACACTCATCAGAGAGTACATACTGGAGAGAAACCCTATAAATGTGAACAGTGCGGTAAGGGATTTAGTCAGCGTTCACATCTTCTCATTCACCAGAGAGTCCATACGGGAGAAAAACCCTATAAATGTGATGACTGTGGGAAGAGCTTTAGTCACAGCTCTAACCTTCACATTCATCAGCGGGTCCACACAGGAGAGAGGCCCTATCAGTGTGCTAAATGTGGTAAGGGTTTCAGTCATAGCTCAGCTCTTCGAATTCATCAAAAAGTCCACACAGCACAGAAACCCCACAAATGCGATGAGTATTATAGGGGATTCGATCAGAATTCACATCTTCACAGTAATCACAGAAAAGAAAACTTGTAATTCTGTTCATTTAGTTAACAGCTTTAATCAAAGCTTAACCTTAAGCCTAGTAAGTGCTGCTGGGAAGCAAATTCTGTAAATAACCCAAGTAATCCCAAGCAACATTTATAGTTTCCCCTATCACCCACTAAGAATCATTTGCTTCAAGAGGAGAGCCTTAGGAGGATTCTTATATATTTAAAATTAAAGTATATTTCTACTGTAAATATTATAATCATTTTGAATATAAAAGATTTAAGATGAAAACTCTTCATCTTGTTTCATTCTAGTCATTTTTTTTCTGTGCATTTTCCTGTGCATGAAATCATTCTGTATGTTCAACTTTGTGTTTTCACTGACTTCAAGACATTTACTTATATTTTGGTTTGAACTGAAATTGGCTAGCTAGCTATGAGACAGCATCTTAACTCTCCTGTAAAGTCCCTAGGAAGCCACAGAAAAAAAACGAAAATACAAAACTTGAAACTCAAACTGGTAGACAGCCTGTTGCTCAAGTGTGGAAGAATTAATATAAGGTAAGTAAAATTCAACTGCTTATGACAACAGGAAAAACACTATATGACCCTTTATCTGAGATAGGCTATCTTAGAGATGTTATATCTGTCAACCAGAACACTCAGGAACCATCCTTTTGTTGCAGGGGTGCCACACTTTGAGGTTACCCCGATTCCTTCTCACTCATGCTCCCCAGTTTTCCACACTTATTCATAGGTTCAGACACCAAGTAACAAGAAATACAAGATTTCCTTATCTTAGAAAGGTGTGAAAGATGTGGACAAAAGCTGATAGTGGTGAATGTTAGAAACAAGATAACTCCTGTTGGTTCAGTTAAGAGATCCNCCTTATCTTAGAAAGGTGTGAAAGATGTGGACAAAAGCTGATGGTGAATGTTAGAAACAAGATAACTCCTGTTGGTTCAGTTAAGAGATCCAAGCAGTAGAATTTGATTTAATCTTAGAATAGAGTGGTAATAGAGAAGTATCTGCTAGAAACAAAGTTGAACTCAGAGCTATGTGCATATACGAACTCAAGCTAACTATGTGAGAGAATTTGGTCATTATAAAAATGGAGTAGATTCAATAGTAATACACAAGTCCTAACCATTAATATATAAATATGTTTGGATAGCACTTCCCAAGAAAAAATAAGTAGACCTATTTAGGGAAATAGGAGGAAATTGTAGTACCAAAGAAAGGAATATATAAAGACTTAGAATCCCATTGCCCTAAAAATGAACTATTTTGATCGAAAGAAATTATTTTAGCCTGGCCGGGCGTGGCTCAACGGTTGAGCATCGACCTGGGATCCAGGCGATCGGGGTTCGATTCCCGGTCAGGGCACATACCTGGGTTGCGGGCTCGATCAGTGACTCATCATTGANGCTTAGAATCCCATTGCCCTAAAAATGAACTATTTTGATCTAAAGAAATTATTTTAGCCCGGCCGGGCGTGGCTCAGCGGTTGAGCGTCGACCTGGGATCCAGGCGATCGGGGTTCGATTCCCGGTCAGGGCACATACCTGGGTTGCGGGCTCGATCAGTGACTCATCATTGATGTTTCTATCTCTCTCTCCTTCTCCTTTCCTCTCTCTGAAATCAATAAAGATACATATTTTTTTTAAAAATTGTTTTAAAAGTTGGTGTCCTCAGCATGACGGAAAACCTGAAATCAATAAAACTAGAGTAAAAATCCGTAAGTATAGACAAACCTCTAAGATAGAAAAATATATAAAATTGAAGGACTACAGGGAAATTTAAAATGCTATACCAAAGTAAAAAGCAATAAGGAGCAGAATTGATACTGCAGAATATCAAATACTGTAATGAATAAGTTTGAGATTATATTAAATGTATAAATAAATGATAATGAAATGGGAACAATGAGAAAAGAGATGAAGCACAGAAAATGAAGATTAAATTGTAAGAAGTAAAGGTGTTTCTAAGGAAAAGAACATTGGAATGGAATCAATGATCAAAGAAATTGCTCCTGAGCTAAAAGTATATACTCACTAGATTTTTAGGGAAAACAAGTATAAAAACTATGCTTAGAAACAGCTTAGGGAAAAAATGCACAAAGAAAAATTCCGGTTATTTACAAAATCCAAAAGGGAGGATGGATAAAGACCCCAGCAACAGTAAAGGTGAAAAGATGGGAACCACCTTCAGAACTATGAGACTGAAAAATCTGTTACCAGTACAGGTTTTTTTTTTAAATCAACTACATTGTCTTATATGTGCAGGTAACAAATTAGATAAAACGTAGAGCTCAAGAATGTGAAGTCATATATAAAGGGACTGGTGGTGAGCACTAAAAGTTTTGTTAAACATGCCATTAAGTCTGAATAATTGTTCATTTGTTTACAAAAATTCAAACATTTTTAATAGTTGTGCAAGAAAATATTTAATATACAAATGCTAATTAAAAAGCAGATTATAAAGTTTGGGTGGAAGAGTTGTCAGATAAAATACAGTTAAGTTTAAATTTCAGATAAACAATAATTTCTTAATATAAGTATGTTCCAAATATTGCCTGGGACTTATACTAAGAAATTATTTGTTTACATGAAACTCAAATTTACCTAGGCATCCTGTGTTTTTATTTGCTAAATCCAGCACCTATGGGGAAAGGACAGCAAAAGGAAGTGTGCTATATTTCTCATCTTAAGTACCATGGACTCATTTTCTTCTTGACTTTAATAATTCAAGAAATAAGGTCTACTGTATATATTTTTTACAATGTTAGAAGTTGCAACTAATAAAACTAAAAACAAATAGACCTTCGAAACAGGAGAAAATAAAAGCAAAGAATATTCAGTCCTTATAGCAAAATACAAAAAAATTTCCAAAAAACAAGATGGCCTAAAAAATTAGAGAACATGGATCAAGAGAGAGAAAGCCAAATTTACCAAAATAGGTTAAATTCCTCCATTAAAAAGCTTTGAAACCTTCGATTAGGTTAAAAAAAATTACTTATATGTTATTACAAATGAAAAGACTAGAGAAAAATGATATTAACTGATCAATTATTAATTGATCAACTGCTTGATATTGATTTATTAATATAAAAAGTCTAAGTTTCATTAGGCAAACATAAAGGAGTGCCTACAATATGTCTTTATAAGTTAAAATGAACTAATTAAACCCATTAGTGTGTAAAAATACAAAACAGTTTTTTGGTTTTTTAAAAATATATATTGATTTCAGAGAGAGAGAGGGAGAGAGAGAGAAACATCAATGATGAGAGAGTCATTGATCAGCTGTGTCCCGCACACCTCCCACTGGGGATCGAGCCCAAAACCCTGGGCATGTGCCCTGACCAGTGATCAAACCTCTATCTTCTGCATCATAGGTTGATGTTCAACCACTGAGTCATGCAGGCCAGACCAATCAATAGTTTTTTAAACTCCTGCAATAATCAGAAAATATAATGGGTGGAAGCAACAAATAACAATGCAGAATGAAAATGAAAAAACAATTGCAATTAAAAGAGGACTTGAAAAAAGAAGTCTTTTTCTTTTTAGAGGGAATGTTCTTAAGTAAACTTATAGATTTATTTCAAATCTCATAAAAATCTGAATGACACCTGAAATAAGAGATTCTNAAAAGAAGTCTTTTTCTTTTTAGAGGGAATGTTCTTAAGTAAGCTTATAGATTTATTTCAAATCTCATAAAAATCTGAATGACACCTGAAATAAGAGATTCTAAAATCTTTAAATAGACATTGAAGAATAGCAAANTCAAATCTCATAAAAATCTGAATGACATCTGAAATAAGAGATTCTAAAATCTTTAAATAGACATTGAAGAATAGCAAAGATGAGGATAAGTAAGATTAATGAGATTGCCTTAACATATAATAAATGACATAGTGAAGTTAAAATAATGGAGAACTTGATTGTACATTTGAAAAAATGTTCAGAATGCTCAGTCACTAAATAGCTGAGAAATAGACCAGTGTATGGATTACATATGTATAGATAACATTTAGTACATATGATTATATACTTTACATATGATAAAGATCAATGGCTAGGAAAAGGATTATTCAGTAAATAGTGCTGAGACCACACACACACACACACACACACACACACACACACACACATACAAGTTTTCAAGCTGTGTTCAAAGAATGACTTTGTGAAGGCTGGTGTATCAGAAACATGAACTACAAATTTAACCTCATTCTTATATGATTCATACACGAGATTAGCTTAAGATTTCATTTTTTAAAAAGGAGGTTCTACCACTTTAGACAAATTGTTTAAAACCCACTAAGGTGGGTTTTTTAATAGTTGNTGTATCAGAAACGTGAACTACAAATTTAACCTCATTCTTATATGATTCATACACGAGATTAGCTTAAGATTTCATTTTTTAAAAAGGAGGTTCTACCACTTTAGACAAATTGTTTAAAACCCACTAAGGTGGGTTTTTTAATAGTTGAAAATAAAAATACACATACATTTTTTGAGAATTTGGTGAAATGGAAGAACCCAGAAAAAATACCTAGGAATATAACCACATAAATGTTTTTAAAACTGTAGGTTAAGAACATATGGAACTCAGGCAACTAGGAAAAATACTTGTCATGATTATGACAGTTACAAATTTTTGTAACTTAAGATAGACATCTAGTTAAAAAAAATGGCAAAGGGTACTGACAGATTAAAGCAATGAAACAGAACTTTTACTAAAAATTATAATAGCTATTTTTAGTGAGAGTACAGAGTGATGAATATTTAGATACTACTTAGGTTGAAAGTAAATTGATACAGACTTTTTGGAAAAGCTATTTGGCAAATCATGAGCCTTAACATTGTTGATTCTCTTTCCCACAGTGAGTTCATATCTAGGCATATTATCCTATGGAAATAAACTTACACACTATTAGGGAACTTCTATTTGCAAAGAACCAGCGATCCAGTTAGGTTATCTCATTATAAAATAGAAAATATTATGTTTTAAAATAGCACCAAAAAATATCCAAGAACAGAAGCTTTAATATAGGAACTTGCTCCACAAAGCCATTAGACAATGAGGCTACTCTTTTAAGAACTTCTCTTTGAGTATCCACTTTTCTCTCTACAGATTGACCTCCTGTTTACTCTATGTATGCTTATAATTGCCACCACATGCCTGAATATATTTTTCCAATCTGTTGCCCACTGCTAACTTGTAACTTCCTTCTGGGTCACTATTCAGATTTCTGAATGGGGGAAGATGATTGCCTCAAATTACAATTACTACCT